AGGTATGTTGAAAGACAAGATATTGCATAAACACACCTATGAAAAATTTCATAAAGAAAATTTGCACAGCTTGTAACAACATTAAATCAAGCTGGACACTATTGTCCAGCTATACTCCTTATTCACATAACTAATTTTAATAATATATTTATAAGTAATACAGTTAGAAAATACTATAATGCTAAAATAATAATCATACAATATTTAGGGATTTTGTCTGATGATTTATAGGGCTTTATTTTTAAGAAAAGAAAAATTTGGAAAGATATTTGTGAGAACATGCCTGGCACCAAATTCAAATTATTTCTGAACTAAAATAATTTGACATTCAGGCTATGTTCACACACGCGGCGTAAGACTGGCGTGGCTTACGCCAGGCGTAAGCTAATCCACGGATTAAAATTCAAAAGTGTTCACACAAACGGCGTTCGTTAAACTAGTAATAGGCCTATGGGGGAATAGTTTTCAGTTTTAAATAATGTACGGGTTCTTAACTGTAGTAAAATTAACAGTGTATCACGAAAACTTTTAAATCTGTAAATTGTTCGAAGGGAACTTATATGATTATTGTATTTTAAATGAACAATTTTACTTCTGATTTTTCAGCTAGCATTGAACAGTTGTTGCTGTTGCAGGTTTTAATAGACAGTCTAAATAGGTTAAAATATCTTACAAAACACAATCAAAAAATCATATACATTATAACTAAGTAAAATGCAATAGAAAAAGAAACCCTTTACCATTTCATTCATAGAGAACACAGGAAAGAGACCAAAGTAGCTAATATATTGCAATCGTGATTGGTCAATCTCTTAAAATGTGGTCAAATCATTCAAGCATCACTGGCGTTAGCTCAGTGGCATTAGCTAATCTGGGGTCTGCAGGTAGCATTAATAACGCCAAGGACGTGGCGTAGTGAGTGGCCTTAACAACGCCATTGCCTAGTTCACACACAAAGGCGTAAGCTACGCCAGGCTTAAGCCAGCCTTACGCCGTGTGTGTGAACATAGCCATAGTGA